CAATTACAGTCCACAGGGGTGGAGAGAATACAGTTTGTGTAAATATTACTAGTACATCTTAGATGGCCTGGGAGGCTATGACAACACAAACTCTGTTTTTTTTAATACAGTTTGTATGATTGGAAATTCTGAACAGACCAACGAACATCGGAGAAAACTAATGAAAAATTAGCCATGCATATAAGTATTGGTTTATTCAAAGTCCATATATCACATTTATATAATTAACTTGCAACTAAGCAGTGTATTATTATGCACTTGAAAAAGGCTTAAACTCCTAGAGATTGAACCCCCCCCCCCCCTTCCCGATAGGAATATAAGTATTTGTTTGCATACATTCCATATGTCAAACACATATATTATTTACTTGTAACTAAGCACTTTAGTATTATTATGCACTTAGAAAAGACTTAATCTCCTAGAGATGACTCCCCAACTGCCATGTATATAACTATTGGTTTATATACCGTTCATATGTTAAATACACATATAATTTTCTTGCAATTAAGCACTTCTTCTTCTTCTTCACTTCCTCTTTTACCGCTGTGGGTGTTGAGGGAGATATAAGGTTCTGTTTCTAGCTCTTCTGGCTGAGTCGACCATAGGCACATTGTGCTGTTGTTGAGTTTCTCTGATGTTATCCTTCCATTTTGTTCTTGGTCTACCCCGTGCTCTACTTCCTTCTTCTCTTTCCATGTATGCTTTGCATGGTATGGTGTCACAAGGCATTCTCTCTAAGCGGGTAAACCATTTCACTTGCCGTCTTTGTATGTAATCCAGAATTGGTTCTGTGCCGACTTGTTCACTTATGATCTCATTCCTGATCTTATCTCTTATGGTCACTCCTACAGCCCTTCTCAGACATCTCATTTCCGTGGTTACTAATTTTCTTTTATGGTTTGTTGTGAGTGACCATGTCTGGCACTCGTAGCACAGAGTTGGAATAAATATGCTTTGAATAAGATGTCTCTTTGTGCTGATTGGGATTGTTTTATGCTGTAAGAGGGAGCTAGCTGTCCAATACTTGGTTTGGCTTTACTGCATCTAATGTTAATTTCTTTATCCAATTTCCCATCTTCGGTAAATGTAGTTTCCAGATATTTAAACTCAGATGCCTGTTTAATGCCTTTGTATTCTATTCATATGTATAGAGTCTGTTCTTCTTTTTCACCTATTGACATTACTTCTGTCTTTTCAGTGTTGATTCTCATATTATTTGTTTTACATTCTTCATTCATGGATGTTAGATGTTGTTGCAATTTCATGGCTGTATCTGCTCTCAAGGCCTGGTCATCTGCAAAGAGTAATTCGTTGATCTTCCTAAGATCTTCATTCATGGGCTTGGCTTTCTTGCATATACTGTCGATGTAGGTGATAAACAGCAGTGGTGATAAGACACACCCCTGTCTTACTCCAGCACTGTATTATTGTTATTATTATTATTTTTTATTATGCACTTAGAAAAGGCTTAAACTCCCCAAGATGACGCCCACCCCCCCCCCACCTTAAAATAAGAGAATTCTGATGCCTCAACACACACACCACCTCTGGTCACCCCCCCCCCCCCCCTTCTGTCTTCTAGTTAAAGTTATGTTGTTACTGATATTACACTTATCCTATTAACAAACATGCGGCACACATGTTATTCTTCTTCCACAATAAGATGACTAGGATGGAGATCACTGAACATCGGACACTCACGTGTGTTAATACAAGTTAGGCAGGACTACAGGCGGTGGCAGGCCTGCGCTATTTACTATACACACACCGCATGGCATGGCTGGATCAGTTTGTCCCCTCCAGGAAGCTACCTACAGGCTGACCATACCATCCTGATAATGAAACATCTTAATGTGGATGACAGACAGTCAAGGCAGATCACAGATACCCCGTTCCACCTACAGAGAAGTTATAGACACGCCATTCGTAAGGACCACACCAGCAGAGTGTAACATGCAATCTTATAGCGGGTAAGGATCTTATAGATTTCATGGAAACATTCAAACTTATAGTGTCGCATTCAGAACAAATTAAATTATCATTAATTAAAATAAATTAACGGATAAACTAGAACTATACTGTAACAATAAATACATAAAGAGTAACTTAATAAGTTACATACTAATGTTATCTTATTCGCCAGTACAACACAATCATAAATATTAATCATTAATGACACTCACACAAACCATTTTCTCAGAAATAACCATAAACCAGGCACGTTGGCGGACCCTGTCCTGTGTCCGTCTCCTGTTTAGAATATACGCGCCACTGACAATTTCTCTAACAGCAACGTTGACAATTTCCTTCTGAATATTTCTTGTAAGATCATCTTGCTTAGCGTTCATTTGTCAACTTAATAACTCACATAAGCGTCCTGCTTAAACCAAAAACTCTAAAAACGACAACAGCGTTAGTTAGTTTCAGTACATGGTCCGTGAGTCACCATCATAATCAAAGCCGCGTCGATAATTGTTGGCGTGTCTTGCTTCTTTCAGCG